CTTGTTGTACATGGTTGGGTTTGTTGAATGGAAACTCTACTTTAAGTTGTTTTTTTTGTTTAATTTTTGTCCTTTTAGATTTAAGGTCACTGTTATTTATTTGCTTAATAAAAGCCATGCAAAAAGAACTATCTAAGGTTATCTTGTTCTACTCTTTATGATGATTTATAGTAAATCCGTTTTGCCCTTTTAAATTTATTATAATTATTTAAGGGTATTCTTAGGGCCAGCAAGTAAGGAGGTGTTGTGCCAGGAAATGATATCAAGTCTTTTTTTTATGAATGAACATGGCGATGTCATTATTAAGATCCAGTTCCTTGAAAAAATATCACGTACTACTTTGGAGAACTTTTGGAATGTCCATGTTATTCCGCTTCGTTTCATTGAAGAGTTACCTTCTGTTGTGTTGTTTGATAATCTTATTTTTACACATATTCAACTCAACGGTGTTATACTCCTTGGGACTTGCTGTCAGGATGGATCTGCTTTAATTTCATTGGAGATTTTAAGTATTATTTCCAAAGTCCTAAATATTTACCTTAAAGGCCTCTCCGAGGCCACATTGCGCGATAACTTTTCCTTAGTTTATCAGCTTTTACAGGAGCTGTTGGATTACGGATACCCTTTCCTGACAGAAATTTTTGCACTAGAGGAGCTCGTTCCAAGGCCAACATTGGAAAATAAGGTTCTTTCGATTTTAGAAAACCCCATCTTCGGCAAGGTCGTCGGCAATACAACTGCTAACGCCAATTCGAGGGTGTGGCGCTCTTTGCAGCCGTGCCGTCGACCCTGGCGTGGCCCTACCACAAAACATACCGCAAATGAAATCCTTTTTGATGTGATTGAGCGATTAGACTATATAATAGACGCCGAGGGCCACCTAATCAAGACCTCGGTGCGAGGATCCATTGAGGTCAACTGTCGCTTGAACGGTGTACCTGACATCCAACTTCGCCTTGTTAACGCGGATACCGTCGATGATGCCGGGTTTCACCGTTGTGTGCAGCACCTCAAACGTCGTGGAGACTACACCCTCAGTTTTGTGCCACCAGACGGCAAGTTCACCATGATGGAGTACACCTGTCGCCCACAGTCGGCGCCGGCGCTACCCGCACTGCCTTTCTATGTTACCCCACAGGTTAGTTTTCATTCCACTGGGGGTCGTTTCAGCTGTATGGTTGGATTGCGCGGTGGACGCGTACACGGTCGGGATCAAGAGAAGGAAGTTCAAGACCTGAAAGTGGTGGTGATACTACCGCCACGCACGACAGCGTTGACTGTGACAAACTGCACTATGGGGAGCACAAGTTTTGAGCGTCCCCGTAGCGTGTTGACATGGTCTGTGGGTAACGTTAGGCGACACTCCGCGTCACTCCAAGGTGAGTTTAACCTAGAACCTTTGCCGATGTACCCTGAACAGGAGCAGTTGGAGTCTCTGAAAGATGGCACAAGGAGAGAAAATGAACCTAGGGATCGTATCCCATCCGTAGGCGCAAACGTATTAATCAGTTTTCACATTCCAAATTATTCTGTGAGTGGCTTGTGTGTGGAATCCGTTCATATTCTTAACGAAATTGGTAAACCTTATAAAGGAGTCAAATACATGACAGAAGGGGGTAGTTTTTTGATCCGTGGTTTTTAGGGCTTAGGCTCGATAGTTACCGTCGTATGCGGGAATGCACTATTTACTTGTGCATTTCTTTTTATGTTGCCTTACTTGAATGAATTCAAAAAAAATTTAAGAATTCGTATCTGTTATTGTATATTAAGTGTCTATTCTGATTTCACTCAAATTCAAAAAATAAGCTAAAAGAAAAATCCTCAAGTGGCGTTATATATATATAATTTCTCAGAGGTTTACATCCTTTAGTATAGTGTTTGTAATAAATTTCATTCTATTATTACTTCTGTGGTTTTACAATAAAATATAACAGGATGAGGGAGCACGCATTTACATTATACTCTATAATATATATAATTTTTCCCCTCTCTAAGACCTAACTAAGTTACTTGAATATACCCTGAAGTAGTCGTTCAGGAAAATATACGCAAATCATAAAGCCAAAAAGTGATGATGAGTAAAGAAGAGAATCATGTGCCATCAGATGAATTTGAGCACTATGAAAAGTTCATAGGTGATAAAAAAACAAGGCCAAATATGAGTCTACAGCAGAAAATTGAAATCTACGGTCTGTGGTGTGTGGCCGTCCGGGGAAAGTGTACGCAGCCAAAGCCTTCCCGCTTGCGGCCAATTGTGTATGGAAAGTGGTTAGCATGGAAGAAATACGAACATCTTGATAAAGATAAGGCACGAAAGATGTTTGTGGAGCATGCCAAGAAGATTCTTGGAAAGTCTAAGTTGTAATCAATCTTTAGTTTCATCACATGTGTTGGTGATGTGTTGGGAACTTTTCTGTTCTTCATATATAGTAATAGTGACCTGCATTTCAAAAATACTATAACGTCTTTTCTTTATTTTTAATATGTCAATGTTGACGATTCTGTAGCTTTAAGATGGACCTTGTAATCATTAAAAATATGCAGGGCTGTGAAGCAAGCAAAATATGGGAATACACCAAAGACCATCTGAATCCAAGTGAAGATTCTCTCGAATTCTTAATGCTTTGTAACTAGTATTTTTTAATACATCTAACGATGTTTGTAATGTGCCAGAAATTATTAACATGACGATACAATGGACTTCTTAGACATAATATTTCAATGGACTTAGCGTAGCTTCCAATACAATAATACTGGAAATTCATGAACAAAGTATTTGTTTGATTAACTCATTCCCCATTTCAATAGTTTTTTTTTTCTAATAAAGAAACAAGGGATTACATTCCATACCTAGGCTAAAACTGTGGAACACCAATATTCCCAGTAGACAAACATAAGCCGATTTTAATTTTATTATTATTATTCAAGTGAACAATCTGTGTGGTGACATGGCAGACGGACCAATTCGAACGGAAGAGGCGCGTGATTTAACTCGTGTGGAGCGCGTAGGGGCGCACTCCCACATTCGCGGGCTTGGTCTGGACGACACTCTCGAGGCGCGACTCCTAAGCCAGGGAATGGTAGGGCAAGTGGAGGCACGTCGGGCTGCCGGCGTGGTGGTGCGGATGATCAAAGAGGGCAAAATAGCAGGGCGCTGTGTGCTGCTAGCGGGCGGCCCTGGTACAGGCAAAACCGCCATCGCGATGGGCATGGCACAGTCTCTTGGGCCGGAAACTCCCTTCACGATGATCGCCGGGAGTGAGATATTTTCGCTAGAGATGTCCAAAACAGAGGCCCTGACGCAGGCTTTCCGCCGTAGCATTGGTGTTCGCATCAAGGAAGAGACTGAAATTATTGAGGGTGAGGTGGTTGAAATCACCATTGATCGCCCGTCAACTAATCCTGCCGAAGCGGGAAGTCGAAGTGGGCAGCTCGTCTTGAAAACTTCTGACATGGAATCAATGTTTGACCTTGGTCAGAAAATGATTGACAGCCTGCAGAAGGAAAAGGTGCAGGTTGGAGATATCATTACTATTGACAAGGCTACTGGTCGCATTAATAAGCTCGGTCGCAGTTTTGTACACAGCAAAGACTTTGATGCAATGTCGTCAAACACACGCTTTGTGCAGACGCCTGAGGGCGAGCTATCGAAACGAAAGGAGGTAGTTCATACCGTCACTCTGCACGAGGTGGACGTGATTAACTCTCGACAGCAGGGATTTTTGGCACTCTTCGCTGGTGACACCGGTGAAATCAAGACTGAGGTGCGGGAGCAGATCGATCAGCGCGTCGCGGAGTGGCGGGAGGAGGGCAAGGGTGAAATTGTTCCTGGTGTTCTTTTCATCGATGAGGTTCATATGCTAGATATCGAGTGCTTTTCGTGGCTCAACCGAGCCTTGGAGAGCCCCTTGGCGCCAGTAGTGATTGTTGCCTCTAATCGTGGGATTTCACGTATTCGTGGGACACAGTACCACTCCCCCCATGGTATTCCAATTGACCTATTAGATCGTATGGTCATTATTACAACAAAGACGTATTCGGAACAAGAACTTGGAAAGATCATCCAAATCCGCTGCGAGGAGGAGGATGTGGAGATGGAGTCGGATGCGGTAGCGCTTCTGACAATGCTTGGCAAGAGCACATCTCTACGCTATGTGTTGCAGCTAATTACTACAGCCAATTTAGTGGCCCAAAAGCGTAAGTCCCCAACTGTTTCGGTCGCTGATATCAAGAAAGTCTATTTACTTTTCATTGATCTGCGACGCAGTGTGGAACTATTGCAGCAACACGAAAAGGACTTCTTATTTGGTGAAGATGACATGAATGTAGAGAACTTCGCCCGATTAAAATGTAACACCGATGTTTGTGATGCCAATGAGGAGGAAACAGTGAATTAATAGATCTTAACGAGGATGTGAGAAAAGAAAACAAGGGGGAGAGTTAGGTAGGGTAGTGACAGAAATCTGCGAAAAACTTCATTTCATTACTTCAAAATAGGTATCAACACTGTTTTTATCCTTCCACGGGAAAATTCAATCCTTCATATTTGGTACCTCTTGCGAATACTAAACTCATGCTGTTATCGTCGTTCCCCCTTCCCCCCCCTCTCTCCTTTTTTTAATTTATTTTATATATATTGATGGAATTTAATCCATTCTATTAAAGTGAATTTTTTTTTCACGATTTCGACTCCCTGTAAATCTATCATTTTAGCCTTTCAGTGATAAGCAGTGGTTATTTGATAATTCTATAAGGTTTGATTCACTTTTCTTTAAACCTTAGTGAAATGATAGAAATATGTTATATATTGTATTTAAACGTTGAGCTGATCTATGTTTAACCTAAATTTACTGTACCCTTTATTACTATTATTTATTGATACCTCTTCATTTTACCATCACAGATCCATAGGTATATGCGTAGTGTGAGAGTATATATATTCTAAGTTCCAAGTTTACAAATGTTTCTTTCATCATATTTTTACTCCTTTCCACGTTTTACTAAGTGGCTTAGCTATCTTTATAGCTCCTTTCCGTTTTCTGCGGTGTCACCGCAGTTGTCTAGGGACGTTGCCGAGCAGTATCTTGCACAGCTTCCTCTCCCACCTCACCCACAGCTCTCGGCATTATCTCTTTTCTCTCTATGCCACACGTCTTCTTTTGGTAAGGACCACTGCCTGAGTGACTGGAAATGGGTAAATTCAACTAAAAGAACATTTAAGAACCCCTTTTATCGCCCTGTGAGTGATCTTTCCCCTTTTAAAAGTTTTCTTGGTGAACCCAGGGTCGACGGTGCCAGGACAACTGAGATCGCAAACCTCGGTGCCCTATGGGAGTATGCCATAAAAAACCATCAGATACCCCCCTTGACTACTCTGTTGGAGTTTTTGGAGCGCTTGAAACTACTATGTCCTCTTTTTATTTACATCGAAGATCCTTCATCGTTGTGCTCGTGGCGGTTATATGAAAACCTAGGGGGTAATACGCTCATGAGTGAGTTTCTTTTGCGAGGCCTTATCATCGGCTGGCAACCTTGGGTTAGACCAGGATTGCGGCATGAACTAGCAACAAACCCCAACAGGTCCTCTTTCTCTATATCTAAAGTGTTTTTGTCCTTGTCAAATGTGATTAATGATGAAGATCTTCATACTGTGGAGCTCCAACGCAAATGGAAGGCGTTATTGCAGTTGGTACCGCCTCATTTTATCTCCGTAGAATGTCTGAAAACTCAGTTACTAAACCAAGCCTTCACTTCGGGTCAGAACACTGAGAATCAGTCAAATCACAATCAGAACACGGAAATATCCCTTCAATGGGAAGATTTCACCCATCAGAGTTCGATTTTCCATGGTTTGGAATGGTCTTTTGATCAATATAGTTTGCGTCTTGCTTCCTGTGCAACATGCATTAATGCAGGTTGCAAACCTGATTTGCTTCAGGTAGGTTATGGTGCTGCTAACGCAAATGATGACCAGATGCTTGATAAGTCGACGTCTTCTTTTTGTCAGAGGCAAGTTCTTTTTTACGCCGCTCTGGAGCTAATTGCTCGTTCAGTGCCAACTTTCTTTACTCCTCTTGATATAGTGCAGCGTCGGTATGCCTCTGAAAGTAAAACAGTTCTTACCGATCTACGAGAACGATGTATTTCTGCTGATGGAAGTAGCACTTCTTTAACAAAGGAAGAAATTCAGTGGCTAGAACGCCACTTTTCCCATCTTGAGCCGCTCTTGGACCACCCGGAGTTACGATTCGCGGTGGAGGTACGAGATGCCACTGAAGGGGTAATTACAGGCCAGCTTGCACGCTACCAGGCGCGGCTTCCTCTAAGTGGGGCCCTGGTGCGATTACACTCCGACTTTTTTCATCCTAGCCGTGGTCGAATAGACTCTTACTTTCTTTTCCAGTTCCACAACTTGCCTTCCACGAAACCGCCGGACTCTGCCGATCCGTGTGAGGTCGAGGCTACAAGTTCCACATCGCGCTTCAGTTACGAAGTGCAGCTGTGCAATGTCGGCACGCATTCCGCTTTCACGTCAATGGAGCTTATCCATACACTACTTGGGGGATCCTCCTCAGATCCTTTTCTACCATGCGTGGTGGTCGATGTCGTCCACCCACACGGTGCTTCCACTGCCGCTTCGAACCTTCCCTGCAGCGTCAAGGAAGACGGTGAGGGGGCCCAACCGATGGCGCTGGTGCTGGGCTTCTGCACTGGAACACCTTTGTCAAAACCTTCGCATGAACCGTGCTGTGGTGAAGTTTTAACTCAAGGACCACACCTTGGGGCGGTGCATGTCTTTACCTTCCCCATTTCGAACAGTCCGACAGGATGGTGGCGTGACCTTCCTCAGCCGATTCTCAACCTCCTGAGAAGTCTAAGTGTCTTAAAGTTGTTTTGTTCGTGTTTCACGAAACCCTTCATATCCACCAGCCACACGTATGAAAAGGATGAATCCTTTGTTGGCAGTCTGCGCTGGCCGGCGTCGTTTGGAAGTCTTGGGGATTTGGTTATGTTAACCCAGTTCATCGGCTACCCTATCAGTGGCAGCGATTTTTCTATCGAACTTCTCAGGTCACTTTTAATACAACAACTTGGTGTGTCGCTACACCTGGTCGAAACCGATACCCAGTTCTCAAGTTTTATCTTTAGAAACCTGACGGAGACGACCGCTCTGGCGCATGCACTTTTTCTTTCCGCTCAAAGAGACGCCCAAAGTCTACTTCTGTTTTACCACGGATTCTCACAATCGGATTCGTCGCTTTCGAAGTTTTCGACCTGCAAGAATTCGTTGTATTCATCATGGATTAGTTTTGTGCGTAGTAGTCCTTCACATCGTGTTGATCGTGCTTTGACACTTCGACTTTACAGGCATCTCCACAAGTGGTTCTCCGGGATGAGTCCGATAGGGGATGGCCCTACCATACATCCAGTGCAATCCTCCTTGCGAAGTGAGGCCATGGAGTGTATACAAATGCCAGCTCGCCTTTTTAGTCTTCCCTTATGTCGTAAGAAAGAGCTTCTGATGGAAATTACCTTTCTTTATGGACCTGAAACTTTGCCTCAGTTACCCCCTTTGAGTCACCCAGAAGGAGTACCGCAATTATATTCAATGCCCACCAAAAAGGAAAATTCACCTGCCTTGATTTCTAGCGAGACGGGGACCACACAGAATTTATTCACGGTATCCACTGCTCCTAATAAGGAGGAGCCTAACAACAAACTCGAGACAAAATGGGATTATATGGAAATCCTTGAAGGTGATCTGATGCGCGTATTAAGGAAGAAAATTCCCCACAAAAGTTCCATCGTGAAGGATGTTGAATGTAACGCAGAGGATGCAATCAACTCATGTGTAAACGATGACGCTGTGCATAGCTCATCTTCCCCCCATTTACAGACCGCTAACGATAACGACTTTCTCAGCGTGCTGCTGACACCGTCCAGTCAAACCCACCTTCATCCAGGCGCCACGTTTAGACCTGTCCAATCGACGCCCTGCCCCACGAATACGCCCCATAAGACATCCCTCGGGACAAACCGGGAAACTTTTTTTTTTCCGGACCAATCCTACCCCCCCACCCATCCAAAGCAGACCAATTATTTGAAAGGGTCGGTGGAAAATAACCCGCCTCTTTCATTTCCGTCCCCACAGACGGATTCAACCACAGAAGTAGTTCAGTCATTTACCTCTCCCAGCGTTCACACTAAGGCTCCGATCGGACCCAAGGGAAGAGGATTTTCTTCCACACAAGGCCTCCCATTTCCCAGAATCACGCTTTCAGAGGGCGTCTCCCCTGAATTTGCACCAGCTTCTAGTGGTTTGAGTAAACAAACTTCTGGTTTTCGTTTTGGGGATTACAAAAATGTCCCCGATAAAGAGCGAGATCCTCCCAGCCGGAGAAAGACGGGGTCCCCTTCTTTCCCTGGGGTGGCACCACCTCCGGCCACTCCCCCGAAGATTTCCCCTCCACCGCAGTCCCCCTCCCGGGCTGAACTTTGCACAGAGGCGGAAGACCCCTATTTTATCCCCGCCCCCAAGACTATGTTTATGCCCGATTTCACGACTCCTAAGCCGAAGTATACTCCGACAACGGGGGCCGATACCTTCCAGTCAGAAATTGACGACGGCACGCATGAAGAGTCGAATGCTTCACATCTGACGACAGCTGATATTAATACTGAAAAGTTGCGCTCACTGCTGCAAACAGAAAAAGGAAGGTTATTACTGGAGGAACTTCTGAGATAAATCAGTTAGCTAGCAAAATTTCTTAATTTCTACATCTTTTAGAAATTTATACGCGCTCCTATTTTATTAAATTATATATTTGTCTCACCTTGATATTTAAATAGGTATTTGTATTACCTCTTCCTCTCCCCCCCCCTTATCATTTTTAATTTAATTATATCAGTTTCAACCTGAAAAAAATATAGATTCCTTTATCAAATAATTTTTCACCTTAAATGTTTTTTTTTTCGCCTCAGATTTCTTTACCAGTAAGGGCTAAAGTCCATGGGTGTGCTTTTTCATTCATTCTTTTGGAGTTAGTTACACCGAAAATTGATTCACTTCCAATAGACTTTTTTTTGACTCATTGGTGCAGTTTTATCCACCCTTCTTTTCGCTTTATTATATGATTGATGATTCAAAAATAGATTATTATTTTAGCGCTTCATGATAAATCATGATTTATCTACAACATTATCTGCACTCTTCATTCATACTATTCTCCGATTGATTGGAGTTTTGTATGGTATTTATGGAGAACAGGGTTGCTACTTCTGGATATTTTTATTTTATCTTTATTGATCTTTTATAGTACCTATCTCTTTAATTATATATTTGTCTCTAAGTTGATTAGCTATCATATTTTTCCTTTCCAATATTAGTCTTTGATATTGTGAGAGTATCACCTTATGCTATTTGCCTTTATGTCGCACTATGCGGCTCTAAAACATGTTTTTAGGTCATATCTTGTATCTATTTGTCTTTTCATTCCTTTAGTGTTGCCCATCCTGGGGAGTGGTGAAGATGAGAAGATCGCGTCCAGACTTACTGGAAATCAATGGGTTTACCTTATTATTGCAGATTCCGTCCTTCTTCTTTTCGCCGCGCTCTTCGCCGGGCTGACCTTAGCTTTACTTGGACTTGACACCCTTTCCCTCGAGATCATCGCAGACAGCGGCTCCGAGCCGGATAAGACCTACGCGCGGAAGATTTTGCCGATCCGAAAGCTCGGCAATCAACTGCTGTTTACTTTAATCTTGGGAAATGTTATGGTGAACACGCTCATCACCCAAATCACCGATTCACATATCCGTGGTTGGTTTGCCACCATCATCGCAACCGCGCTTACAACATTAGGTGGTGAAGTCATCCCCCAGGCACTCATGTCTGCCCACGCCCTCAATGTTGGTTCAAAATCGGTTCCGGTAGTGAAGTTGTTTGTTTTTCTTTTTTATCCCGTGTGCAAACCGTTGAGTATGGTGATGGACAAGCTCATCGGCACCGATCCTGGGCAAATTTATGAACGCAATGAGCTGAAAAAGCTCATGTTCATGCATGCGGAGCAGAGCACCGAAACGGGTATTGGCGCTGGTGAGGCGGATCTGATGGTTGGTGCGATGGAGCTCTACGAGAAGACCGTGATGGAGGTGATGACGCCAATCAGCGATGTGCTGATGCTCGAGGCCCACGAAAGGCTGAACGAGGAGCTTATACAATTGATTTCTGACCGTGGCCACAGTCGAATTCCGGTTTACCAAACCAACAAGAACAACATCATCGGGGTCCTTTTTGCCAAGGATTTGTTGATGACCAACCCCCAGGAGAACACCCGAATTTTGCTGCTTGTGAGGTTCTACAATCGTCGCTGCCATATTGTGCCCTCGGAGACCAAACTTATCACCATGCTCAAATATTTTCAGACCGGAAAAACCCATATCGCACTTGTCCAGGAGGTCCATCAGTCCTCCCACGGCGACCCTTTCTACGAGGTCAAAGGCCTGATCACGCTGGAGGATATTATCGAAGAGCTAATTCATAGCGAAATATTCGACGAGTATGATTATGACCCTCATCAACAAGTAGTAAACCAGACGGTGGTGAATTGCACGGTGAATAATTTGCCCAAACGAGTCCACATCGGCATCACCTCGAGGTGCAGCCGCCAGGTTCAGCTCAACGAAAATGAGATGCGGGCCTCCGCACTTTTCTTGTGTGAATCTTTGCCAGAGTTGAAGACGGCGGACGCGGAGGGGTTGATGAATCTTCTGTGTAATTACTCAACAGTGTATCGCGTGCGGGCACCAAAGGATGCTCGCGGGATGGAGAACCTTGACAAGCAAAACGTGTGGTTGTATCGCGAGGGTGCGGCGTCGTCGGTGTTCACGCTGATCATCGCCGGACGTGTGGAGATCTTCGCGGCGAAAGGGATCGTCTTCGAAATGGGAAGCTGGTCACTACTTGCCGCTGATGCCATTACAAATGATAACTTTATTCCTTCCTTTAGCTGCCGTGTTGTGCAAAACAGCACTTTGATGCAAATCACACGTGACGACTTTAAAGCTATCCTGACGTTTTCCAATAAACCCCCGATTGAGTAATGTTCAGCTGACAATTAGTAAGCATGATGACTGGTTGTGTTTAGAATTTTTGATATTTTAGTACTGATAGATTGTTATCGTTGACATTTTTCCCCCTTTGCTTCCTAGTTTTTAAATGCTTCAGTGAATTGAGAAATGCACAGATCTTACAATTACTGTCAAAACACTAGTAAAGGGTGTTTGGATGATTTATAAAATCTATTTCTTAGTTTGCCATTTTTTAACTTGGATTTGATACATATTTGGATTTCTTTCTCAATGCATACCCTGCTTATATCATTTTTTTCTTGATTTGGCTGAGTCAATTATGTCTAAAAAGAAATTGCTATAAGAGCGTTTGTTTTTGGGCTGATATACGCAATCCCTTATTGTTTCAGTGAATGCGCTGCTTTTTCTTTTTTTATTCAATCTAAATATATACACACGCAAATAAATAAATAACTAAATAAATATACATGTATATATTTCATTACCTATAGGTACTCTTTTTTCTCCTTTTTGTTTGAATATGGGTTTGATGAATGTAAAGTGTACTTGAAAGTATGATAAGGTAGTGTATAGAATTGGGAATCCCATTACTATTTCCCCCTTTTTACCTATTGTCAGCTCTCGGATTGATGGTTGAGTCTTCCGATGATGTGGGATCAGAATTCATTGCCCAAGTGATGCGTCAATTAAGTGAGATTGATGGCCTTCTTCAGGATGAGATGACGTCCAGCGATGATGATACGGCGCTTCTGAGCGATCTAGAAGACGATACGAATATTTCTGCCCGATTAGCTCGCAGTAATCACGAGTTGCGGGTGCTTTCCGAGGAGTTCCTCCAAGACCACCTGGACCACGCGGATCCCATTTGCGGTGTCTACCACGACCTTTCGCGCTCCGAGGCGCAGCTGGTGGACTTTGAGACCGCCATTGTGGCCTTCCAACGGGAGCTGGAGCGAACCTCGGGGGACATGCGGGCGGTGCAAGAGCGGATAGGCCAAATCGCCCTCCGCGTCGCGCATCGCCGCGGCGTGAGTGCGAAGATCCACGACGTCTGTAACGCGTTACAGGCCTGTGACACCTTCTGTGAGGCTATCGTGCACAGGGAAGTCGACCAGGAGTACCTGAGGAATTTGCGGGAGCTTGAGCAGTCGTTGGCGTTTCTCTCGTGTAAGGAGCTCCAGGCGTCCAGACTGGACAACGAAATTCGGCCCAAACTGGTAGCCGCGGCCCTGAAAGCGGGCAATAAACTCCAACGCTTTCTCACGAAGCAAATCCTGGCTCTTGTGGGTGATCCAGACAACTTGGAAAGTAACCAGCAGGTTCTTGAGCAAAATGGCCACTTAGCCTATCGCTTTTTGAGCCTTTACAACGCACCCGTCGCGGAGGAAATCGTAAAGCTTTACGTTAATAACATGTCCAGTATGTATCGAAAGCAGCTTGAGGCCCTCTTGCGCGGTTTCGCCGAAGCCTCGGAGCTCCGCGGGTGTCCTTTAGATCCGATTGTCTTGTCAGCGGAGATTACGGCGATCCTGTCAAACCACGATGCGGGGTCTCCCGCGGGAAATCAGGTAGAGGTGCCGTCGCAGAATGGCTTTCCCGCGCGGGTTTTGACGCCGAAGGAGCGAAGGGCCTCGCGACACCTCCTGAACCTCACGAATATATTCACCAAATCCGACACCTTCCATGGCTTTCGCGAGGCGACTTTTCAGGATACCGTCGCTGTGGTGCGGTCGCTGGAGGTACGGCATGGACGACTGCAAAACGTACAGGGCAGCGCCGAGCAGCTCGATCAGTGCGATTGTTGGGTTTGGCAGCTTGTAAAGTTTCTTGCGGCCTTGGCGAATATCTGCATGACGGAGTGTCGGTTTATCGATAGCTTTTTTTCCTTCCCGAGCGAATCTGACGGGGAGGAACACCTCCACACCACAGAGCGCCTCGCGCACGCCGTGCTGGATTCCACCATTCGAGCCGTGGAGTTTTCCATTAAGGAATATTCTCATTTAGTTCTCGACCGCACCGATGTGTTAGCGGCGCTGCGATGTGTTGATATTGTAAAGCAGTATCTGTGCACCATGCAGGATCCTATCCCATTGTTGATGCTAAGCGGCATGTTGGAGATGTCGAAGTCGATCTTCAAGGGTAATCTACGCATTGCTCTTCACAACGATCGGGTAGCGCTTGGGTACTTGTCTTCGATGAAGCTGTCAGGTTTTCATCAGGTTCTCACACTAAGTGCGAAAATGCTGAGCAAACTTTTGTACGAACCCGACTACGCCGTGACACTTGGTCCACATCCTACTTTGATGCGTGTTGGAGAGCTCCTAGGGGAACTGGAGCTGCTAAATACAGCCCCTTTCTTTCGCTTTTATTTTGTGAAGGAGGACGAATCTTGTAGGACTTACGATACGCATGTTAGCGCTTTTATCGCTACTTCTTTGATCAACGTACTTGATTTCGTCGAGCAATTGGCGAAACGGCACCCCAGTGCGTTATCCCAGAGCTTTTTTTCTTGCTGCAATATTTTATGCATTTATAACACCTGGCGGAAGCTCATCTCAGAGTTTGAACAAAAAGATTTGGAGAGCACACGCTTCAATGCGTGTGATTCTCTGACCTGGAGGTCGACCTATACTACTCATTTCGTCTCTTCATGTAGTAATTCAGATACATTAGTGATAAGTGATGTGGCACCACCTTACTTTTCGGATTCTAAGAATGCTAAGTTCCTGGAAGGTCGATTTGAAAAGGCACTGGAGATGCTCGTGGCGGCTTACATAGAAAATCAGAACAACTTTGACTACTACTTCAAATTCAACAAAAATATGGAGATGGAGCTCGGCGAAGACTTTTTCTCTGTAGAAAATCAACAAAACATCGCGTCGGAGGAGTTTCTGGAAAAGAACCCCTGCTCTAAGTTGACTGCAGCTAAAACCTTTGAAATAGCAACGACATTTAATTGTCAGTGGCATGATCAATTTTATAAGGTGGTGGCGGATATCACGCAAGCAGCACAAGCTATCTTTAAAGGCGTTTCGTCCTCCACACATTCCAGACCAGCCTCGCAATATCTTTGCAGTGAATTTGTGTACACCATAATGCGTGTATATTGCAATGCTTTAGTACGTGCCAATGATCGACTTTCAATTTTTGTGACCAAAATCTACGCTAAAAAGTCTAATATCCAGTCAAAGCTCATTAGCAGTTCTGTTCTCATAGGGGAAATGCAAAAAATTATCCGACGTGATATGGAATAAATGGGAAATAAGTCGCGTTTTGGAAACATATTTCTTGAAAGAAAGGGGGACAACATAATATATTGTGTTGTATCATCATTTTTTTTTTAACATGCTCCTTTTCAATTGTATCTTTATAACTATTAGTATTATTTTGGCACCTACATGATATTCATTTGATTCAATGATGATTTGCTGACAATTTGAAACCCAAAATAAAAGGAAAGATACTTATTTGAAGCGTCACTATGCCAACTTTGAGATGGCTTCTTCAAGAAAAGAGGTATGTCACTACATAAAATGGATGAATAAATAAATCATATATTTAGGTTACTTCAGAGTTTTCTAAAGACCCAATTTTTTTTCGAAGCGATAATGAGCTTAGTTATTTTATATGGAACGCAAACAGGTGTAGCTGAACAGTTCGCTTTTTATGTTGCGCGTTTAGCTCTTAAGCGAGGAATTCCAAAGGTGCGTTGTTTGCCCGCAGATGAAATTCCTGTGCAAAGATGGTACGACCTGGCGTATGAAGATGGCGAAAAACCCTATTCCTGTGTACTTTTTATGGTCTCAAATTCAAACCAAGGGGATGCCCCGGAGAGCTTTAGAAAGTCCTGGATTCGTTTGCTTTCCGAGTCCGAGGCCTCCCTAAAGTTGCGCAGTCTTCGCTACGCGGTTTTTGGATTGGGGGATTCGATCTATGCAAAGTTCAATTATACTGCAAAGATGCTACACAACCGGCTGCAGCGGCTAAACTGCGAGCCTTTGCTGCTCCGCGGCCTCGGCGATGAAAGTGATGCTAGAGGGATCAATGAAATTCTCTTGCCCTGGCTGATCCCGCTATGGACTGCCCTGGGCTGCACAATTTCACCAGGGGAAGTCAGCGAAACCCCCTTGGATGGTCCCGCATTTCCGCTGTACAAGGTTACTCAAGTTTTAACTCAGGAGGTGGTGCGAGGGGAGGATTTGGGTGAGGAGGGTGAACCTATCGCCTCTTCACCTGAAGACAACATTTTTTACCATTCTCTGCCATTGATGTCACCTGATTCTACCTTCACGTGCGAAGTAGCTTCGAATCAGCGCCTGACCGCTGCCGATCACTTCCAGTCGGTTCACCACATTGAGTTAATCCCCCATCTGCCCGCTTCTCATACTGTAGCGGAAGGTGGCCTTTCTTATGAAGTTGGGGATGCCTTAGGGATTTATTCCCCTAACCGCCCTGTCCTCGTGGAGGAGATGCTTCACCGACTGAGGCTAACAGGGGATGAAGTGCTCCTTATCACTCCTGATGCTAGTCACGGCCTGATTGAGCAAACTACTCGCACCTTTTTCAATCGACCTATGACAAGCCACACCTTGCTCACGTACTACGTGGATCTGGATGCAGTTGTGAAGCATGAGTTTTTCTGGATGATGTCGTTTTTCGTCGAGAAACGTCTTGCATTGGATAAACGAGACAACACTCCGAGCTGTTTGGATATAAAAAAGTCGTGGAATGGGAATGCAAAATCAAACAACCAGGCGAAAAGCGAGGACGCTGAAGAAGTAGAAGAGGTGCGGGAGCGTCTCTTGGAGTTGGCTAACCCGTTATACATTGATGGGTATCTACAATATGCCCACCGGGAGAAGCGCAACATCTGTGAGGTACTGCATGACTTTAATATGCCGAACTCCACGACATCTATCAATCCCCCGTTGGCGTATGTCTTGTCGTTTTTGACACCTATGCATCCACGTTATTTTTCGTTGTCTTCATCGCCTGCGATGGATGGACGATATAGACTAAGCTTAACAGTCGCTCAACTCGCTTGGCAGACGCCCATGAAGCGCCAACGCACGGGTTTATGCAGCACCTATCTCGCACAGGCGAATGTTGGCGATAAATTAATGTGTGTTTTATGGCATGGTACACTTTCAACTTCACCGGTTCCTCATCCACTCCTTTGCATTGCCACTGGCACCGGGATCGCACCTATCAGAAGCTTAATTCGACAATGCGCCGCTGCAGATGGATTGGGGTGGGTCGATACACCGATTTACCTTTTTTTCGGTTGCCGGAACGAAGCCAAGGACTTTTTATATAAAGAAGAATGGAAAGAACTGCGGGAATCGGGCAAACTTCGTGAGCTGCATGTTATTCCAGCCTTCTCGCGTGATACCGCGAAGAAGTTTTACGTGCAGCATCAGTTAGGGCAGCATGCTAGACGCGTGAATACTCTTCTTCTTCACGAAGAGGCGATTGTGTACGTCTGCGGTAATGCCAAGCAGATGCCAAAGGATGTGCAGTCAACCTTAGAGAATATCATCGCGACATGTAGTTTCGATGGGGATGCTTTGGCGGCTGCGCAAAAAATAAGGCAAATTTCAAAATTGGGGCGCTACCAAGTGGATACGTGGTCGGCTTGATCGTGATCGGATGACTTGTGTGTCGTAGTGTATTGCTCACTTTTTTTCCCTTTCCAAGTATACCTCAATTTACCCCTCTTTATGTCTTTGTTGTTGTTGTTTTGACCCGGCAGGTGACACCATTATCAAAGCTATTTCAAGGTGTCTTTTTGTTGTCTATCATACTTTTCCTACCTTTTCTTTGCTTTTTTTAAAATATTGCGAACTTATGCCTAATCTAGGGTCCCATATAAGAGTTCTTTGATCATTTACTTAGTTCGATTTTAGATGAACCAACAAAGCCAAAATGTTGCGGCCCAGGTGATCGCCTCCCTCCAACACGACAAGATCAACCTTCAGAAGCAGCTGGCCAATGTTCAGCTCGAAAACCAGGTCCTTCGGCGTCATCTATACCACGTGAGCACCTTACTAGATGTTGCCGTGAGCAAGTTAGACAATTCAGGCGTGGCGTTGGATGCCCCAGTTGATATTCGCGCCCTCTGTGCTGAGGCCGACAAGCACGCGACGAGCTACGCCGCGCACTCCCAGCTGGACTCGAGTGAGGCCAGGGATCCGGAGATGAAGTCCCCCCCACCGCACTTCAGCAAGGCGCGCTTTCAGCTCAAGGCGGAGTTCCGCGAGCATAGCAAATGTGTCCAGTGCTGCGCGTTTAGCGGGAGCGGGGACTCGCTCATTGTGACCGGCGGCCTAGATCGGCGGCTCATCGTGCACGACTTTTTGAGCTCGGAGAAGATCTGGGAAGTGGTGGCACATGGGGAGAACATCTGCGATGTGGCGTGGTTTGAGGGGACGCGGAATATTCTTTCGGCGTCTTACGACGCGTCGGTGAAGTTGTGGGACCCTCGGAAGACAGGGGGGACCCCGCTCTACCAACACAATGCGAACGGCTTTGTTCTTTCGATTGCTCCGCTGGATAAGTCGTTTGTGTTTGCCTGTGCTGATGTCAAGCGATACACCTCGATCGTGGACGTGCGCGCAAACAAATCCTTCTCGTGGGAGCATCCCCATCGGGTGAACTCCCTAGCCTATGACAGCTCCGTTGGGCACCTCATCACCGGCCACAGCAACGGCACCATCGCGATTTGGGATATCCGCATGGCGGGGATTGTCCTCTCGTCGAACAAAACCCCCTCCCCGGTAAAGGAGTCCTTCACGAACCTCTGTAACGCGCCCCCTGGTCATCCCCACACCTCCCCTCCTTCCGAGACTGCCGGCCTCCCGCCCAAGGCCCTTCCCCCCCCGGTCCCCGCCGCCTCGGCGAGCAACGGCAG